CGCTGTGCCCTGTGATCCTTGCACCAAGCCCTGGCTTCTAGCTGAGCTGCAACCAGTGTATTTGAGACGGGACGTCTTTATTTTAAACATGCCCAGCGAGAGCGTGCTGCCTGTCTTGCCCTGCAAAGGTTCAGATTCCCCCCCCATTCTCACTTTCTGGCTGACTCTTCCTACCTTCAGCTTCCAGTTGTTGCATCTTGTCTTCTGAATTGTGCCAGGTGCTGTCAGGAACCTTTTCCCCACGATGGTGTCCTGCCCAGCTCGCTATTACGCCCGCTGGGGTAGAGCTGAAATGTCTCAAGCCCCTCCATGTGAGGCCTGTTTTCTAAGGCTCCGGTCACTTTTTTTAAAGTGGTTTCTGAATATTTCCAATTGTTCAGTGTCCTTTTAAATAGGGCAGACATCAGCACTGGACAGGGTCTCTGTGGGGACACTCCCTCACTGCTGATCTTGTCCCACCTGCCCCAGAGTAGTTTTGGGATAAGGGTGGAGGCAGGCTCCGGCTGGATGGGAGGGCTGAGGAGAGCAGAGGAAGCCTGTGATGGTGGGATGCTGCTGCTGCTGCAGGCAGCTTTTCCCTGAGGACCTGTGTTCTAGGAGGAGTGACCACAGGCTTGGTTCTGCGACACGCTCGGCAGGTTTCCCAGCTACGGAGGCGCCTATTCATGCGCAGACATGGCGTGTGGGTACAGGGTGTTAGCCTGGGGTGCCAATGGTACGGCTATGGGCGTAACTCAGGCCCCATGCCTTGTGCAGGGTGCCCAGGGTTTGCTGCCCATTGCTAACAGCGTACCCATCTTCCTGCTCCCCTAGTACCAAGTAGGAGGGTGTGTTTGCCTGCCTGTTTCCCCCGTAAGGTGGTGTCCTGTCTGGTCGCCTTGGTTGCCCTTATGCATTAGGAAGTGTAGCCAGTGAGGGTGGGAAGGGACCTCAGGAGGTCACATTTAGTCCCACCCCTTGCTCAAAGCAGGACCAGCCCCGACTGCATCATCCCAAGCAAGACTTTGTCTACCTGGGTCTTAAACACCTCCAGGGATGGAGATTCCACCACCTCTGGGGAGACCTTTCCACTGCTTCAGCACCCTCCTTGTGAGAGTTTAGGAAAAATCTCTAACCTCAGTAAACAGAGAACCCAATTTTCCCAGCTAGGCCCGTGGAGGCTGTGTGGCACTGCCTGCATGGGCTAGCGCTGGTAGTGGAGCCCTGGCAGGAGCTGTGCACCCTGCCCTGTGGCTGCATGGCTCCAAACTTGGGTCAGGGCTGCAGCCCTTTATTTTCTTCTCTCCAACCTGAGTAAGCCCCAGACTGCAGCAGATCAGGCGAGGAGAAGAGTTGCCCCCCCCCCCGCAGGTTGAGCTTGCAGCATCCAGTCTTCTGGGCACAGGATCCTGCTGTGGGGCTGTCGTGAACTGCTGTGCCCCCTAGGCTGCTGTTCTGGCAAGAGGGCGAATGCTCCCGGGAGGAGCTCTAGCACCTCTGCGCTGTGGGAGGAGGGAGGCTGAGGGCTCAGGGCTGTGTGGAAACCTGCCCCAGCTGGGCCGAGCTGTTGCCCTGCTCAACTGTAGCAGCGGGTGCGGGATGGACACCACTGCATGGCGGCAGCTGCGCCTTGGGCCCTGCACCAAGCTGCCTGTGGGCTCCAGCGTGGCCAGGGCTGCCCACCTCCCTGAGCAGGTGCCAGTGAAGCGGTGCCTTGCTCCCTGCCTGGCTGGGGCGCCGAGCACAGGGCCGGGCTTCCACCTGCTCCTGCTCCTGGTCCTGGTCCTGCTCCCGCCGCGCGGCCTGGGGAGGCAGGAGAGG